AATAGTTCATAATATATTGTAATGTGTGTTGTGAGTCTTTACATGCTATCAATGCCACAGATTTACATGCAAGTGTAGTCTCTTTAATATCATTAATGATTAATGATTAATGATTGATAATCCTAACCCTAACCCTAACCCTAACCTAAATGACATTAATCCACAAACAAACATATAATAATATATAAAGGTTGGGAACACTCCTAATGGAGTATCACCCCTCTGTTTGCAAACCGGTTGTCGAACGAGAGCCTGGGCATTGACAGATGTGACACACGCGTTAGCACGTAGCAAGCTCCAAGAATATAGCACCCATGCGACACAGCGATTAGCACGCACTTACCTAAAACACTTAGCACTTATTTCGAGTAACTCTTATCGCCGACATCACAACTGCAAGCAGTGTGCAAGCGTATGTGAGCACCACCGCACAACTGCTAGCAGTGAGCACAACTGCACGCAGCGGAGTGTATAGTGACAAGCATGGCAAACTTTTTATTGTATCAAGCTTATAATATGTGTTGGGTATTGTGGTAGTACTATATGGATAGGTGATGAGGCTGCGGCGGCGGAGTGATATGAGAAATAAAGGACTTGAAATATGGCTACCAAATCATAATCAGTGTTCGCAGTTTACCGTGATGAGATACCACAACATGGTGGCAGCGGTGGGATGTCTCTCAAATGTACTCTATTCCTCCTAAGCTGGGTGCCATTTGGTGTGGTGACAACATAAGACCGTGCCTGGGGTTTGACACACACTTTAGTTATCTGTGCTGGAATCCATGTGTGGGATTCTTTGAGAGATTTTTTTCTGAGACGACTGTTTGGTTTTAGTGTTGAGACGGTTGGATAATTTCATCAGTCTCTAGGAAAGGCCATTTGTTTACTTGAGTTGAGAATCGAGGATAGTCGTAACATGGCGCGCCTACCGGAAATGAGTTGGCAGATGCCAGACCTGGCAAGCGGATTCTCTCTTTTTAGACAGCGTATGGAGCTGTGTCTAAAAAACCTAGACATTACAAATGAGGTAAAAAAAAAGCAACGAAGATCAAGATTGCTCTAGGGACAGAGGGTTTGAGACGCCTCAACGCATCAGGTCTGAGTGACACAGACCAAGACGATCCGGAAATGATTTGGGACTACTTTGACAAGCAGCTGAGAGTCAACATCAATTTCCGCATCCATCGACTTGAGCTTATGAGATACAGGCAACACCCTGAAGAGACAATCGATGAATTTGTAACGCGTTGCAGAGACAAAAGCCGCCAGTGTGATTTTTCTAAAGAGGAGCTCAATGAACGCATAGTAGAACTCGTGATTGCATCCACACATTATGATGGCATGCAGCGCGAGTTGTTGCAGAAACCGGCGGGCTATGCCCTTACAGACGTGGTTAGCCTAGGCAGGCAATATGAAGCTATTGCTGCTGGGAAACAGTGTCTGTCAAACCTCTCACCAGTGTCGAATATCGACGCAATACGTAGGAACCCGCAGGGGCCAAACAAGGGAGGGCGACCGAGGACAAGTGATTGCAAGCAATGCGGTTTCTGTGGACTGCACCATCCTCCCAGACAGTGCCCTGCATATCGTGATACCTGCAAGCACTGTGGAAGAAGGGGGCATTGGGCCAAGTGCTGCAGATCAAAGTCGGATAGGACTCCTGTCCCCTCCTGGAGGCGTAGATCGAGACAAGAGAGAGTGGATGCCATGCCTGTAGAAGAGGGCCAATTACTTGCGGACCACGGAGAGGAGGGCTTCTCCCAAATGTTCAGCTCCATATTGATTTCGAGCATGGACACCACGGCAGGAGAAAGTACGGAAGCCTTCACAGTTCTGAGCATCGCCTGTCCATCCAAGGTTGGAAAACATCGCCTGCAAGTAAAAGTAGATACTGGGGCAGGTGGCAACACACTTCCCCTCCGTATCATACATGAAATGTACCCCAAGGGACAATGGCGCTCTATTGTGAGACCACGACAAGTACAGCTTACTGCGTACAATGGATCCAACATCCCTTGCATCGGTTCCATTGATCTCATGTGCCTATACAAAGACTCCACATGGACCAGACAGGAGTTCTTTGTGGTTGAGGTAGCTGGACCTGCGATCCTAGGCCTACCAGGCAGCAAGGCTCTCAGTGTCGTCACCATCCATACAGTGACGAAGGATGACAAGCCGCTAGAATACATACATGACCAGGTCCAAAGCATTCAGACGGTTAAAGATCTCGTGGAACGGTGGCCCCAACAGTTCGACCGGATAGGTGATTTCAAGGAACCGGCCAATCTTCTGTTGAAGAATGATGCCACGCCGCACATCGATGCTCCCCGGAAGTGCAGCATACACATTAAGGACAAGCTAAAAGCAGAGCTCGATAAGATGGAGGACCAAGGAGTGATCCGTAAGGTCACACATCACACTGACTGGTGCAGTTCCATCACAACAGCGATCAAGAAAGATGGATCCATTCGGGTATGCCTAGACCCAAAGCGTTTGAATAAGAATCTCAAGCGATGCCCCCACAAGATCCAGACACTGGAAGAAGTTAACCCAGAGTTCGTAAACGGGAAGTATTTCACCAAGCTGGATGCCAAGTCAGGCTATTGGTCCGTGCATCTTAGTGAGGACTCGCAAGAACTGACCACGTTTCGCTCTCCATTCGGCAGATACTGTTTTCTGCGTCTACCCTTTGGGCTTTCCACAAGCCAGGATGTCTTCCAACAAAGAATGGATAATATAATAGGGCAAGTCCCGGGTTGTGTGTGCATCGCAGATGATGTCGTCGTGATGGGTAGTACAGAAGCAGAGCATGACCGCAACCTATGGAAACTGTTTGAGACAGCAGCAAAGGAGGGACTAGTGTTCAACAGCAGCAAATGCGTGGTGAAAGCAAAATCGATCAATTTCTTCGGAACGATCTACTCGGAAGTTGGAATTAGTCCAGATCCCTGCAAAGTTGAAGACATCCACGCAATACCCACCCCACAGGACAAGGAGGATCTCCAGAGGTTCCTGGGCATGATGAACTTCTTGTCTCCCTACATCCCTAAGTATGCAGATCAGGTCGCTATCTTGCGAGATCTATTAAAGAAAGGTGTTCCGTACCTGTGGCAAGAAGACCACCAGGAAGCGTACTGCCAACTAAGGAAAGCAGGTCAGCAAGACAGCTCGCTGAAGTACTATGATCCTGAGACACCTGTCACCCTTGAGGTAGACGCCTCATCAAAAGGGTTGGGAGCATGCCTATTACAGCAAGGAAAGCCTGTGGCATATGCCTCAAAAAGTCTCTCGCCTTGCCAAGCTCAATACTCCAATATTGAGAGGGAGACGCTGGGACTCGTCTTCGGGATTACTAGATTCCATACTTACCTATTTGGAAGAGACTTCAAGGTGCTGACTGACCACAAACCCCTTGTGACAATATGCGCCAAGCCACTCACGAGTGCCCCGCCCCGACTACAAAGGCTTCTCGTAAAGATCCAAGGGTACAACTTCACCATTGAACACCGCCCAGGAACAGAGATGATCATTTCTGATACGCTCAGCAGATTGCCTAATCCACTGCGCACAGAAGATGTCCCACTTGATGTCCATGTAGAAGGGGTACTACTGGATGAAGTTGAGGACACGTTGGGCATTGATTTGCTCCACTTTGGGATCCTCAAGCAACAAGCTCTACAGAAAGAGACCACCCAAGATCCTGTGCTGCAGAAAGTGAAAGAATTCACTCACACTGGTTGGCCCGCAACCATTCAGGAGCTGCCAAACGAATTACGCCCTTACTGGCCGTTTCGTGATGAACTAGGCATGTCAAATGGGGTTATCTTCAAGGGCAGACAAGTGATTGTGCCTCAATCCATGAGGACGGACATTCTGCAGCAACTGCATAGCGGGCATCAAGGCATCGAGAAGATGAGGCTTCTTGCACGCCAGTCGGTTTACTGGCCAAACATCAATCGTAACATTGATGAGCTTGTCAGGAAATGCAAACAGTGCCAAGAGCATATACCTCAGCAGAGAAGGGAACCACTTCTCCCTCATGAAATCCCCATTACGCCATGGACCAAAATTGGTATAGATCTGTTTGAGTTGGACAGGGTACAATACCTTATAATGGTCTATTACCATTCAAAATTTCCAGTTGTCCACCGATTGGCTTCGACGACCAGCGCAGGTGTGGCTAATGCAATAACTGGAATATTCAGCCTTCTGGGATCTCCCACAGAGGTGATGTCAGACAATGGCCCACAGTTTGTTGGTGCAGCGTTTCAGCAGATGTGCAAAGAATGGGGAATAACGCACACTACTTCCTCACCGCGATACCCCCAGTCGAATGGTCTGGTGGAGAGAATGGTCCAAACAGTAAAAGGAATCATAAGAAAGACACAGGCAACAGGGGAAAGCTCAGCAGCTGCTCTACTGAATCTGAGAAGCACTCCAATAGACGCCCATCTCCCCTCCCCAGCGAAATGTTGTTTGGTCGGCAGGTCCGAACGCGACTCCCAGCTAACCTAGAATCCAACACAACGTACAAGGGACAACGGAACCAGAAACTCCTGGAGCAACGTAGGGAACGAATGAGGAGGAGTTATGATGCGGCTAGAAACAAGCAAGAACTCCGATTACTCCTCATAGGACAAAACGTTCGATTTCTCGACAAAGAATCCCACACATGGATTCCAGCACAGATAACTAAAGTGTATGACGAACCCCAGGCACGGTCTTATGTTGTCACCACACCAAATGGCACCCAGCTTAGGAGGAATAGAGTACATTTGAGAGACATATCCCGCAGATGCCTTTCCTGGCAGAACCAAATAAAACAGAGAGTACAGAACGAAGGGAGCAAGACAAGGTGCCAGATCACGCAGCGGGTAATGAAACAGAAGTATATCGAACACGTTCTGGACGTGTCAGTCAAATACCAGCCCGTTATCGCTGAGAATATATGTTGACGTAAACTTAAATAGACGTTGGTGTAGTTAAGGTTGAATACTTGTTACATGTAGGTCTACATATTATATGATAAATGTTTATGATATTGCTAATTTCTTACCGTTGTGAGGGAGATGTGGTAGTACTATATGGATAGGTGATGAGGCTGCGGCGGCGGAGTGATATGAGAAATAAAGAACTTGAAATATGGCTACCAAATCATAATCAGTGTTCGCAGTTTACCGGTGATGAGATACACATAACAGGTATACATCTGTGATAAGGCATATGGCAGAGCGTAACCTATCAACAACTGTGCCACGTGTTTGTAGTTGCCGCCAGCTGACGCAAAGTTGTTCGCTACATTTATAGCGAGAGCATAGCGAAGCGTTAGTGAAACGCGCTGCGGGGGGGGCCCCGTTAATTATCCAGACCGTCTACGATAGTGAGTGATGACGTGTTCACAATGAAACAAGTGGCATTCTTAGCTTAATGAATGCTGCGATACATCATTGCTGCGTATTTGTGTTTTGTGGGTAGGGGATATATACATACATTCTCATATATAACACACCATGTAATCGGCATTTCTATGAAAAGTTTCACATGTGTGTTAGGTATCGTTCTTCTGAATAGGTGAATGTATAAATGTTGTATATACTTATGATTTGGAAATAAAGGGATGTTATCTGATGTTAATCCAATATTCGCTTTTTCCCTCCAGCTGCTTAAACACGTAACTCAACCACTCGAGCGTACACGTAGATAATTGGGTAAGCCTCATTCCGTTCTTCGGGGAAATCAAATTTCGCAAAACCTGATGTTTTGATACGTATCTTGGAGCAACGCGAACGTGTACTAGGAATCGGTGGTGGCAAACATCGCGTGCATTTGCATTTCGCGGTTTTCGGCATGCGTGTCTTCTTTAAGTGTTACGGACAAAGGACCTATTCTGCCTAGGATCACTTTCTACTCTAGTAATTACATCAGAGACGCGGTGCATTCGATCTTCGCTTGTCTCGACTGACTGCGGATCTTTGTCGGTAATTAGGAAGGTTTGCCCCCTTCTCCTCCCTCCCCCTCCCCCGCCAACTTTCTAACATGGAGCCGCACGCATCACCTCGCCGCGCCCTATCGTCGGCGCGCACACAACTCCTCGCATATTAAAGCGTCTGGCTTTTTTTCCTGCTAATTAAACATTGATCGGTACGTACTTTAAGTATAATACTAAACCTATACCTATAGTCAACATATGTCACGTAAAAAAAATATACACATTCTAACTAGAGCAGACTGTTTCACCGATGTTATAGACGCACAATATTAGTATTATAGTTATTGAATTATATATATATATATATATATATATATATATATATCAGGAGCGTATAATGACAAATACGCTCCTTATATCAATAATTAAAATCTTCTTTTAAATCACAGCTTGATGTAAGAAAGTGTAAAGGTGGATAAATAGGCGCTTTTGTAGCCGTGGGTTGCTTCATTAATAGATCTCATCCTCATCACTGTTACGGTCGTATTTGAATATATATATATATAGAGAGAGAGAGAGAGAGAGACAGAAAGAGAGAGAGAGTGAAGAAACAAG